TTTACATATCTATAGTTCTACATTGTGATTTCCTATCCTGTTTGAGCACTGGTTATCCAGATTTGGTGATCCTGAAAAGTTCCTATCCGGATCAGATTGATCCAATGTTGCTTTGAAAAACTGGCTCAAGAAGTAAGCTGGATTACGTGATCACGGATCGCAAAAAAAGGATTACTGAATCCGGATCAATTTTATCCGGATTAAACCTTTTGAAAAACCGGGCCCTGGAGATCACAGTCAGCAGCCAAGCAAAATGATCTGGAGATGAAACTCACCCAGACTGTGTGTTTTATAATATTCTCCCCTCCCCTACACATTCCTTGATTCATACAGCTGAAATCAATCAATACTAGCCTAAAGTTCTCTCCCATAATACACAGCTGCACCTTGTACGCCTCCCCAAAGTACATTCTTGTGATAAGAAAAGCACACACACAATGATTTAACGAGCATTCTGTAAGATTGTGAAGATTATATTATTAAAACTTATCCTTATAAGTGCATTCCATGAAAAACAGTGGAGTGTTCCAGACAACTTTATATCCCACTGTGTAATCATTTACTTTCCCTTAAAACTGTTTTAAGGTTACTCCCTTAAAACAGAGCTGTGCTAGGCACAACTCCCCAGAAGTGCATTTAATAATGAGTGAACACGCTACAACTATGTGAAGGTTATACTTTTATCTCATAATGCAGTGTCTTATTAAAGTAACAATTTCTAAACCATGTCAGTGCTTTAGTTATATAGCAACCCAAATACTTCAATATTTCACACTCTTTTCACTCAACATGGAAGCAAAACTTTATTTTACAGTGAACTAATGAAATAGTTGTGGTTGTGCTTTAGTTCTGACAAGAGTTTCAGTGTCTGGGCTGAAAGTAGACAGAACTACTCTCAGATCATGTTCAGTGTCCAACCTGTTCCTTGAATGGTAGGATTGCTTTGACTGCCAATGTCACAAGGGAGGGATAGCCAGACATCATGTATTTGCACGAGAAATGGGGGAGGCCTACCTCATCAAATTTCTTTCACATGACAGCTCAACCAGTTGATTCTCCTCATTGCTTGACAACACAATGCTTTCCATGTCAATTCCAAAGGAATCTCTTATCCAGTGATTATTGTTGAGCTTCTCTATGAAGTAGTCCTCAAAACGTGTGTTGACCTGACAAATAAACAAAGACTTTCACAGAAAACTACAACTGAACAGTAAAATTGGGGAGCTATATCCTAAACTGAAAAAACACAAAGCTAAAGGAATAAACCAAAGTCAGAGATGGCAAGTAATTGCAGAGTCCATAGGCAAGGCAAGGGAGAGAGTCC